TCAGTCAGGAAGGTCTATGGAACTCTTATATCCAATTAACAGCAAAAAGCTGCAAATGGATCTGTGGTTCAACTGGTTGCACACTAGCCTAAAGCACAAAAATCTCAGTAACAGAGCTCAGGCCCAGGACTGCCACACAAAAAAATGATGATATCATAATGAGAGTATTAACACTGATACTTTCATGGCACAGAACAGGAAAAGTTTATAATCATATAATATCCAAAATTGCATGAAACAAGATTGTTATGCCCTTTTAGGATGGTACAATCAGAGAATGACTGTCTTGCTTTGAAGACAGCCATGATTTATGTTGAAAGAATACTGGCGCTTAGCCAGGCACCGGTGGCTAATGTCCGTAATCCTAGCTACTCAGGAGGCTGAGATCTGAGAATCATGGTTTGAAGCCAGCCCTGGCAGGAAAGTTCATGAGACTTTTACCTCCAATTAACTACCAGAAAACGGGAAGTGCACCGTGGCTCAAGTGGTAAGGCACTTGCCTTGAACTGAAGAGCTCAGGGACTGTACCCAGGCCCAGAGTTCAAGCCCCATGACCTACAAAACAAAACAGAAAACAAAACTACTGGCTCTTTATAGACAGTGTGAGTAGTGAATATACTCTGGTGGTCTGGTCAGCAAACTGAAGGACAAGATTTGAGAGTTACAAAGTTTCTGTTGTATACAAGCTATTTTCCAACTGTGACTCTGTCTTGGTAAAATTTGATTGGGTTTAAAGACTAGAAGACAGAAGGGAAGAAAATCTAAACAGTTTAATAGATCCATGGGAGATAACTGTCCATTGTGCTGAAGAGAAAATCAGAGGCTCTCAAGGTCTGGTCCTTAAATCGGTGAAATACATTTTCTCAACATCTGAGACTGTGTTACAAATGCAGATTCTTGGTCAGATTTGACCTGTTGAATGACAAGGCACCAATCTGCCTTTTACAAGCCCTTCAGGAGATTTTCTTGACGGTCATTCTAATAGCACACTTGTTGTTCTAACAAAAGGTTCTTTGGAAGTTCTCAGATTCTATTTCATTTGAAGTCCTCTTGTCTTTTAGTTCTTGGCCTGAAAAAACCTATATCCCCACAAATGCCTAAATTATTTAGTGTTCTTGCTACTTTAGGTCCCCAAGGAAGACCTCTCAAGCAGTATGTGTTTTGAGACATATGGAAACTTTTTAACAACTCCCCTTGCTGCATTGGCCCCAGTGGTAATCAGCCCAGCTCTGCTTCCTGACTCCTGTCCAACAGCTTTTCCTCAAGAATGCTCCCTCTTCCTCTCACTGCCCCCCCCCACTGGGCAAACACAGGAGGGACAGCCAGGAACAAGGAAGCTGCAGCTGCAGCAAAGGTTCTCCCAGAAGATGCAGACCTGACTGAAGACCCAGGCTGGCCTGAAGGAAGGTGAGAGATGGGGTCAGCAGCCTGCATGAAGTCAGCTGTATGAAGGATCTTGCAGCAGCTGTGGGAAGGCTGGAGTGACAGTGACAGGGAGCTGATGGGCATAAGTCTGGAATTGAAGAAACATTTGGGAAGTCCTGTAGGAGGGATGTGAGGTGGAAAACAGGTGTCCCAGTTCACCCATGAACACAAGCAAGCATAGACAGGACCCTGTGGTCTAGAGAGAGGATACTGAAGGTAAAGGATGAGAACCGTGAGGAAAATTACCATGAAATTCTCCACATTATTCTACACAACAAAGTTGCAATGCTAATACATTAACCCTGCAAATATTGTTTGAATAATTACTAAATCATTCTTTCTGTCACAGATGCTGCGCTTATGTTGTTACTCAATTTGCAATCTAGTCAAAAGACAAAGGAAAACTGAGTAGTGCTAAATGAAGTGTTATTGGAACCTATAGAAATAAAGAATTAATCCTTCAGGGGAGAAATGGGGAAAGAGCCAAATGTAAGCACATATCTCCGTGCTTTTGAAAGAAAAAAAAATAAACAGTGAAGGATATGTACGAAACCAAATTGTTAGTAAAGATACAGACGCACCCAACCAGATGGCATATGGAAGAACTACAAGTTCCCTAGATAGCCATTGGCTCCTGGGATTTAAGAATACTGATTAAAAGGTATATGGGGCTATACTTTACAACCTTGTATGAGAGGAAGTTGCATATACATATCTAGGTATGTTCAATCTTAATTCTCTCTACAGAGCATTTTCGGTGGATTCTAAGGGTTGAAATTTAAGCTATGGGTACTAAACAGCCAATAAAGATTATTAAAAGAGATCTAGAGCTGGGCACTGGTGACTCATGCCTGCAATCCTACTTATTCAGAAGGCTGAAATCTGAGGATTGCAGTTCCAGGCCAGTCCATCCTCGACAGGAAAGTATGTGAGACGCCTCTCTCCAATTCACTACCAAAAAGCTAGAAGGAGAGCTGTGTTCAACTGGTAGGTTGTTATCCTTGAAAAACAACAACAAAAAGCTCAGGGACAGTGCCCAGCCCTGAGTTCAAGCCCCAGGACCAGCACACACACATAAAAAGAGGGCTGAGCATTGTGGCTTATATTCTAGCCACTTAGTAAGAAGAAATTGGGAAGATTGTGATTTGAGGCCAGCCCAGGTAAAAAGTTAGACTGTCTCCAACAGAACAAGCTGTATATAGTAACACACACACATGTAATGCCAACTACCCAGGAGATATAGATAGGAGAATCATATTCCAAGGCCCACCCTGGGCAAAATGCAAGACTTTATTTGAAAAATAATTAAAACAAAAGTGCTAGGTATGTGGTTCAAGTGGTAAATACAGGATTAACCCACAAGAGGCCTTGCGTTCAAACCCTAGTGCTACAAACAAGAAAGAGGCACGATCAGATTAGTATTCAAAAAACTTTCATGGGCAAATGTATGAAAGAAATGTAAGAGTGCAAGCAAGGAGAAGAAGAATGACAAGAAGATGGTCACCAGTAAACAAGATTATAGCAGGCTAAAGGAAAGAGACCACCTGGAGAGGAGGGACTGCCCTGAAACTCTCTTCCTCCATTTATTGGCTTCTGCAATTGGATCCATTCTTTCTTCCACTCGAAGATTTCCATTGTCATCCTCCTCCATATGTTCTGTCTCCCCATTTCTGTTTTTTGTAATCTTCCTTTACTTCATCTATTCCCACTTATTTGTATCCAAATTCTTCTTTCCTCTACTCTTAGTTTTGTTGCTGTTGTTGTTGTTTTGGGTCCAGTTGTGGAGCCTGAACTCTGGGCCTGGGCACTGTCCCTCAGCTCTTCAGCTCAAGGCTAGAGCTCTACTACTTGAGCCACAGAGCCACTTCCAGCTTTTTTCTTTTTGCTTATGTGGTGCTGAGGAATCGAACCCAGGGACTCATGCATGCAAGGCAAGCACTCTACCACTGAGCCACCTTCCCAGCCCCCCTTATTTTTTTTTAACATATACAAAAATTTATGTTCTTTCAGAACATCAGAGTTTCCTTCAAACAATCATTATGGATTTTCTTAGGGGTAGTACTGGTCTTTGAACATAGGATCAAGATTTTCTAGCCAAACAATGTACCATGGTGCCATGTCTCCTTCCTCTTCTCACCTTTGCATTGCTGCTTATTATTTTTATTATTATTATTATTTGCCAGTACTAGGGCTTGAATTCAGAGCCTGGGCTCTGTCCCTGATCCTCTCTGTACTCAACGCTAGCACTCTACCACTCGAGCCACAATACCACTTCCACTTCCTTCTGTTTATGTGGTAATGAGTAATTGAACCCAGAGCTTCATGCATTTTAGCCAAGCACTCTACCACTAAGCCACATTCCCACCCAGCATTGCTTATTCTTGAGACAGGGCTTCATTTCATGCCTACTGGTGTACCTGGACTGCGAGCCTTCTATTTTTCTCAGGCAAGCTCCACCACATGGAGTCCTATGGACCTCTCCTCCTGGACCTCAAAAGATCCTCTCAGTCCCAGCTAGGATTATAAAAATGAGTCCTCTCATCATGAATTTTTCAATCTTATGTTCCTCCTGCCTCGCTGAATAAGGTGATCCTGCACAGAAGTGTAAGAAAAAGCTGCACAGTCCAGGGATCTAGCTGTGCTTACAGGTTCCCTGTAAGAATTGTCATAGCCTATCACCATTCACCCACCCTGCAGCCAATGGCAGCTCCTCAGCAAATACTGACCAGGACTAGAAAATACACATCCATGGCCCTAAAAACTTTTGATTGAATTGTGCAGTAAATCCATATAGTACATGGAAAGTCTGTTGACATTTGGACATGTTAAGTGTACAAATACTTCAACAAACTTAGAGCTCAGAAGCAGAGAGAAGTCTTTTGTTGTTGTTGTTGGTCGTGGGGCTTGAACTCTGGGCCTGGGCATTGTCCCTCAGCTCTTCAGCTCAAGGCTAGCATTCTACCAATTGAGCTACAGCACCACTTCAGGTTTTCTGGTGGTTTATTGGAGATAAGAGTTTCACGGACTTTCCTGCCCAGGCTGGCTCTAAATCACGATCCTCAGATCTTAGCCTCCTGAGTAGCTAGGATTACAAGCGTGAACCATCGGCGCCCAGTGAGAGAAGTCTTGAATAGACTATGTCCTAGAATTCATGTGAGTCTTTCTGTTTAAGCCCACAGAAAATTCAACTGAGCCTCTTGGTGGCTAACTTACAGATGTGGAAATGGACCTCTCGATAAAACCAGTGAGTGAAGTCTGAAGAAAATGGAAGACCTGAACTCCACTCCTCATCTGCCTTAATTCAAGTGCCTTCCCACCTCTGTGTCAAACTGTGAATGGCAGGTTACATGTTCTCCTGGACGGTTTTCAGGTATCTCATGAACATGTCCTCCAGCACCCACTTACCAGCTCTTCAGAGACAAAGGCAGCCATAGATCTCAGCGTCTTCCCATGAGGCTCATTCTCATACAGATGTGAACAACTTGGCTCTGAGCCTCTGCACACCAGAACGGCACTGCGGACCCTATGCATCTATGTCTATGGTTCCTTCACTCTAGGTTGATGGAGAAGACAGCATGGAACCAGAGAACTTCACATGGGTGTCAGAATTTGTCTTGCTGGGACTGTCACAGACTTGGGAGCTCCAGCTTTTCCTGTTTCTGGTCTTCCTGTTTGTCTATACCACCACTGTTGTGGGAAACCTCCTCATCATTGTCACAGCCACTGCAGATGCTCGGCTCCACACCCCCATGTACTTTCTGCTTCGCAATCTGGCTGTGTTAGACCTCTGTTTCTCCTCAGTCACAGCTCCCAAGATGCTGGTGGACTTCCTGTCTGAGAAGAAAACCATCTCCTACCAGGGCTGCATGGCCCAGCTCTTCTTCTTCCACTTCCTGGGAGGTGCCATGGTCTTCTTCCTCTCTGTGATGGCCTATGATCGCCTCATTGCCATCTCCAGGCCACTCCACTATGTCACCATCATGAACACTCAGCTCTGTGTGGGACTGGTGGTGACAGCATGGGTAGGAGGCTTTGTTCATTCCATTGTGCAACTCTCGCTGATGCTCCCCTTGCCATTCTGTGGCCCCAATGTCCTAGATAACTTCTACTGTGATGTTCCTCAAGTACTGAGGCTCGCCTGCATGGACACCTCCCTCTTAGAGTTGCTCATGATCTCCAACAGTGGCATGCTAGATGTCATCTGGTTCCTCCTCCTCCTCATCTCCTACTTGATCATCCTAGTGATGCTCAGGTCCCACCCAGGGGAGGCGAGGAGGAAGGCAGCTTCCACCTGTACCACACACATCATCGTGGTGTCTATGATCTTCATTCCAAGCATTTACCTTTATGCCCATCCCTTCACTGCCTTCCCCATGGACAAGGCTGTGTCCATCAGCCACACGGTCATGACCCCCATGCTCAACCCCATGATCTACACCCTGAGGAACCAGGAGATGAAGGCAGCCATGAATCGATTAGCCGGGCGCCTATTCAGTTGGTAAAATAAATGAGCTTCAAATGGATTGCCCTTAAATGACAAATCCCTGTGAGAATGTGGTATCTCATTGGAAAGTGTGGCAAAGTCTCTATAAAATACAATGAATCTTGAGGACCTATTCATGTTTCAGGTACTTTTACACTTTGACACAATCTCATAAGACTATTAGTGGATGGGCTAGAGATGAATGATGATGCCTGCCATCGCAGGTAATGGAAGACAGATATTGGGAGGGTAGGAGTTCGATTCCACTTGAGACAAAGTGTAAGTGAGACTCTGAACAAATAACCAGGCCTGTGATGAAGGTCTGTAATCCCAGTTACACAAGTCTAAGGTCTCAGAGTCAGCTTGCCGATTAAGGCCCTGCCTTGTGTCCCTACCTGTTAAGTTTCTATTTGCCTGAAGCTGTATTGTTTTCCAGTGTGACATACAATTCCCACCTGTAGAGAGCTGCGTGCAGCCGCACCTGAAAGATGGTGCTGGCTTCCGCCCTCTGCCTTCCCGATGGCGAGTGCTCTCTGTGGTAAACAACTCCTTATATGGCTAAGGCAAAGAATCTGGCTTGCTTCCGCGCACCTGAACCTATTGGTGGTTCCCA